GGCCAGAAAAACAGTGTTACCTTTTCTTTTATTTTTAAGATAATGCAATATCTCGTGCGCAATCAGAATATTATCAACAATATGTCTCCCAGCAACAAAAGCACTCTGGGAATCACTAACAATAGAGGGAATGACCTCTTTTAAGCGATTAGTGCGAACCTTAGCAATAATAATATAGGAAACATTACATAATGAAATGGGATGATAATGGGAAACATGAGTAGGGACATCCATTTTGGGAATAAGAACAATATTAGTATGATTCATGCTTTTAAGAAAATGCCCGGAATGCATAAAACTACAAACCGCGGCAATAACATCATGCTTAACCTCATGCCAATAATGTCTATAAAATAAAGGAGTCATACCATCCGGTTCAGGAGCTTTTACAGGGTTGCATCTCGAAAACTGCACCTCGAATTTCTTCCTCAGAAGGGGGATGAAAAAGACGTTAATTCATTTCATTAGAAACCCAAGTTGGAAAATGCCGAAGAAAGTGATCAATTCCGCTATGAAGATGGGTCTGGAAAAGATCCTGAAAATAATGTAAGAAAATTTCCTGAATTTGACCCCCATCTTCAATCCACTGACCATTAAAATCCTCCACACCTGAAATATGATTTCGGTGTTGTCGTCGAATGGTAGATGTGTGAAAGAATTTGGAATTTTTATTTCTAACCTGTAACCACTGAATTCTGGACTTTTGAGCCTAATACAACTCTTCCTGTCGCCAGAAGAGCTGTAACTGACGCTCCAGTTGAAGGACCTGCTCATGATCATAATTTGTGAACCTCTCTTTTAACGTATGAAGTAGGGCCTCAGTATTCTTAATATGATGGCAAGAGTGGTGGTTTATAGTTCGGGTCCAGTGAATCAAACCCGTTTTGCAAGCTTTAAGTTTTTTAGACTAGCGAAACATACACGAGCCATGGATCGGTACACGCCAGGCAACACGGATAATATTACCACATTGAGGATCCATCACCCACCGAGCATCAAAATGAAACTGACGTCGCTTCCAATTAACAAGTGGCAACAACCCAAAAAGGAGAGCGCTGTGATTCGAGCTAGTAACAGAAAGATAGCACACCCGAGCTTGTGGAAACAAATTACGCCATGTCTGACTAACCAAGGCACGATCCAACCGCTCCTGAATATTTGCAATCCCACTCCGATGATTAGACCAAGTGAACAGGTAACCATTGAAACCCAGATCCATCAAACCACAGTCAACGACCAGACTTCGAAAATTTTTAAGACCCCAATAAGGTTTTAGAAAGGCCACCAAGCTTTTCAGACGGGAATAAAATGTCATTAAAATCACCAATAATGACCCATCGATCATTCCAATCCTGCCTCCGTCGTTTAAGATACTCCCACTGCGCCACACAAATTTTATTATCTATACTAGCATGAACAATTGTTAGAACCCAAACTCCATATCTAGCAGAATTAAATTTTATGGTAACATGGTATTCATAATAATTAATGATACGTAGAAGATTATTGGCATTCCAAAATAATGCAATTCCCCCAACTGTGCCGATCAGATTTATGTACCAACAAAAATCATACCATAAGCGACGCCGCAGCCGTTCAAGTTTGGGGGAAGTATTTTTAGTTTCAAGTAAAGCAATCACATCCGGAGAATGGCATTTTTGAAGCTTCAATAATTGATTCACTGTGATATTACTACCCACCCCCTAACAATTCCATACCAAAGCTTGCAGGTTATTTGGGTGAAGGTTACATCGAACCTGACGATGCAAACCAAAACCAGAACGCATTGCCGACGTCCCCGGCACAGAAGTAAGCTTAGCGGAACGCAAAGGGCGGACCTCTAAAGGAGACGAGGTAAGCCCGGTGGGACTAGAAGGGCCATTACCAACCTAAGACAACACAGTGTCCATCCTCTGTGTCTCTTTGCGAAATCCTAAGGAATCGAAACTGACTACAAACAAGGTGATCATCGACAACTAGACAAACCAAGCACCACCACACTCCAAAACACAACAACCCTAATAACAAAAAACCACCCAACAAACAAACCACAAACTCTAGATGATAGCAACCGCAGTAGGGAGAATAACTCTCGAAATGAATTTGCTACACACACCCAACCAAGAAAACACAGCCTCAAGCATAAAATTCCAGCCACCCCACAACAGCAAGTGAAGGTGAAAGGAACCAAACGCAAACACAAAATCCACCCAAGAAAGGAATATAAATACAAGAAATCAAAGAGAAGAGATACAAATTTTGAAAGCCAACAACACAAACAAATGAGGAACCAAGGAATTCCTCGTTGAACTTACCAAAGAAAAAAAATAAAAATATTATTGTACTTCACTCTTTTATTTCTTTAATTTATGATATTAACTATTAATGTAAATATATATATATATATATATATATATAAATAAGTGTTGGAGGTGAATTCATTTTAACTAGTATTCTTAACTTAATAAAAGTTGCACAAATACAATATATCAAGTTTAATTAAAATTTGACTAAATTTAAATACAATAAAAGAGTTATATGAATTACTTCAAGGAGTTTGTTTGCTGGCAGGAGTTTATCAATTTTATTTGGCACCTGACTGGTTGCAACCACTGAAAATGATGTTGAATGTTGTACTAAAATGTGTATATCATACATGGACCAAGTGGCCAATTTACATATCAAATGGCTATTGCAAAAGCATCAATTCTAATAACACATGATCCATTTGTAGTTTGGTGATGATGATAGATTAACATTTCTAACCAACAGGGAAAACCCTAACTTGATCAAGCAGGATAGGACCACAAAGTGAACCAAAGTCATCTACCCTAGTGTGATAGTATAAGATGATGAATGTTAGTCTGGTCCTGGCTGAAATTGCTTTGAACTTGAAACTAGCGGTCTTGAACTTGCCCTTGCCCTTGGATTTGAAGGAACTTTTCAGGGTATTTTTGGCGGTGAATGCTTCAATCAAACAGCCAAGGAGTGGGGATATAAGACCCTCCTGTTTGGGAGGAAGAAGAACACCATTGGAAAAGTTCATTAACCTATTGAAACCTTCCTTAAAACCACCATTATTCCCCAAGTTGTCTACAAGAAATCATTAGCAATTATCCGATGTGCAGATTGAAAAGGAAAACTTTATGCAATTGCAACATGAATAGGTCATTAGATCTACAACATTGGCTCTAAAATTTTGATTTTAAAGGTAACAGAAAGAGAGTGGAGAGAATCTAGTCAAAATAATTGAAGGAATTATAACTTAAGAACGAAATTATTCAAGAATAGTGCTATATTTTTAAGGTAAGGTTAATCTTGTTGATGCCTTTGCACTTTCAATTTAAGTATAGGACTCAATAGTTGTTATTGTTGTTGTTGTTGTTATTATTTTTTTTTTGAAACAATGAGGTAATAATAGACATTGGTACCAGAATAAGTGAATCAGAGGATCCAGAGCATTTTTTTTTAGATGGGTATTTGATTTTCATTAATTTCACATATCATACAAGGAAAGTAGTAAAGAAGGAAAATTTGACGAATAATAAAAGGAAGGAAGAATAAAGCTTGATTATCAAAAGGGTGGTAGAAAGATTTTGGCAATGCACAATTAATGGTAGCATCTGATTTTTAGTTATGCCAATAATATTTTAAAAAATGCAACTGTACTCAATGGTAGCATTTGATTTTTATTTTTATTTTCCTTTTCCAAATCAAATATTTTTTATCTTTAATAATTTTAAGGAGCAGAAAAACATGTACATGAATGGATTCCATAAAAAAGGATGCTGAAGCTTTAGAAATGAAAATAGAAAAATCAACAAACCAGTAGATGGGTTACATAGATCTAAGTATAGATCTAAGTGAGTATAAGTGGCCTTTTGCATGCTATAAGAAAACAATTTGCCCAAAACCAAAAACAATCAGATACTCTAATTTTTTGTTACGCGGTCAAAAGATATGGAGTTATATTCTAGGGTTGCAATAAGAAATTATTAAGCATCATTGATTATCTTATTTCATATTTCAAAAAAAAAATATCATGTCATTCGTATATGTACTTCTTACCAAATTATTAATTTATGTAACAAGTGGACCTATAGAAACCTATACCCGAATTTATGAAATTATTATCTTATAAATTTAACGAAATTATTAATTTAGTACCTTGGCCCAAGTCAAGACCGACGTAATTTATTATTTAAAAGAGATTATTAATCTATTGAGTATTAATTTATAGAAGTTATACCGTAAGTGAGTTCAAGTGGTTTGAGCCACGTGGACCTAAGACTTGGATCAAGTCAATCAAGTGGCTCGAGCCAAAACCTATGGGGTCGAGCTATAAAGAAATTGGTTTGAATCAAGTGGTTTAGATTGAACCCAATTTCATTATTTTAGTAATTTCGGTGCATTGTGAGTCAAATCAGAGAGTATTCTACAGTTTGGTTTGTTGGATGCATTGGTGTGTAATCCTCGTATCGGTGGATGAAGTGACTATAGTATCCTAGGAGACACGCAGTTTAGAGTTCGTTGCGCACCGTGCATGTGTAATTTGTCGTAAGGAGATAGTACCCAATACTGTTTTTTGGTTCAATTTCTTTATATTTTATTTATTTATTATTAATTTAATACTTTATTGTGGATATTAATTAATACTTTAAATATTTAATTATTTAATTATTTATGAGTTAAACATATTCATTATTTTATTAGTTGTCTCATCAGCATGTTATTATAATAAATCTTTAATTTTAAATAATATATGAAGTATATATATTTTTCAATAAATCTAAACTTTATAAAAAGAAATCTCTCAAAAAAAAAAAAAAAAAAAATCTAATAAAAAAATTAAAAAATCACATTTTTAATGGACAGATAAAATAGAAATGTGATTAGACATATTAAATTATAACTAAACTGAATATATATTTTTTCGTCCTAAATCTTATTCAATAAGTTTATTAATTTATTTTCTTTAAACGGTGTACGCCACACTGGGTTCAATTGCACTTTGGAGAGATCGAAAAATAGAAAGTTTAGACCTTTGAAACGTAAACAGAGCCTAGGGCTCGAACTCAAAGTTCTATCTCTCTCGCGAAGACGACTGTCTCTGGCGATTTCGACATCCGACGAGCTCCAACAAAATCCGGCCAACTCAACCTCATCTCTGTTTCGAAATCCTCCGGACTAGCTCCAACAAAATCCCGCCAACACAACCTCATCTCTGTTTCGAAATTGAAGCTCTGAACTTCAACGGTGCGTTTCAGAACAAAAATCAGAGAGATTATTGGTTTATTTCCTTTTAAGTTTTATTTATTTTTTTATTTTTTTTGAAGAATATGAACTTAATTTGTATAATGTTCAATTGCTGGGCTGTTGCCAATTGTTCTTTTTGAAGAATGTGAACTAAATGCATTTGCATGATGATGTTAGGCTGTTGTGCTGTTGCTTCTTGTTAATTTGTATGATGATGTTGTTCTTAAAGTGGGTGAATATGAATGTTATAACTCAATTGCAGTTGCAGATGTCTGCATCCAGTTCTTAGATAGATGTATGAATTTATCCCTAGATATATGTTATATATGTTTGGAGTAGTATGTCCATATTAGTTTTGTGTTTTGGACTTATACTTTATTTATTTCTTTATTATTTTTTTAGATTTATAAAGTTAGTTTGAGTTATTTTTTTACTAGTTCAGTAGAATCTTACAATCATCAATCTGATCCTAGGAGCCCCCATTGATCCTACCTAGGATCTCGATCCTGACAACCTTGGTTGTTCTTGAATTGCTTATTAGGGTTTTGTAGCAGAAAATTTTGGTGAGGGTTTCTTTTTTACCTTTATTGTTAATGCTAGCATTGTTTGGTATGATGAGAGTATGGGAATTTATTAATTTAATGTGTTGTACTTAATGCTTTGAACTTCCTACGTAAAGATCATGTGTTATGGAACAATTTTTCTCAAGTTTCTCTTTCATTACAATACTTGGAGAACTTCAACTTTCAGAAATTTATAATATTGTTCATACTTATCAATTTTTTTATTTTTATTTTTATTTTTTTATTTTTACAATATTGTTAACATTTTTCATAACTTCTTCCCTGGCAATGGAGGGGTTGAATGCTGCTTGGCATGTAATTTATTTGTTAAGTCACTGTACTTCTACTTTTTAGTTGTTTCATGTAATCTATTTGTTATGTTGTTCTACTTCTACTTGTTGCACAGATAATTAAATTTGGATACCTAGCACAAGTTGTTACCTGTTTAACCTATATTTATTGGATGCTTTTGGTGATTTTATTTCCTTTGTAATTATTGATTTATAATTATTGTCATCATGATATGTATGAGATCCACTTATCAAGATTTGGTTATGACTCATAATACATGTGAAATTAGATATTGACTTACATAATTTCCTATCACTCGCCTCTCTCTCCTATGGATTTCAATTATCGACATCATTTGCCATATCCCATTTGGAAGGTACTCTGCTAAGTATTTACTTATTATAACATTTTCATAGAAGATTTCCAATTTAAGAATGCATATTTTATTCATCTGTTTGCTTTTATTCTCAATTTCCCTCTGTGTCTTACCTATGGTAGGTCTTTTTGCCATCTTAAGACACTTCAGCTTCTGTTATGTATCTTTTTTATAATATCAATATTATGCCCGGTATTGGTGTCAACAAGAGTCCTTTATTAGCATCAACAAAGAAAATACATGACGCTCAAAAAATAAAATTTAAAAGAGGCTTTGGCTTACCATTCACTGTGCATGTTTTTACTTTAGGGTAACTTCATCAATATTCGTTGATAAATGCTTTGTTTGATCAATTTCCTAGGTGTTCTACATTTTTTATTGATCATGTCTGGAGTATGCTTTTTGTTACTTGATTGAGATTTTCTGCAATTTATTAGCACTAATTTGGGTATTATTGAAATCTAACTAAAGGTATATTTCAGCTTCTGCATACCTCTTCCCTGCCATCATAATGCTAAACCTTCACACTTCATTAATTAGAATTACTAATGAGTCCTTTTGATGATGTGAGTATGTTTCATTCCACCATACTCGCATGGATGTCTCGTGTATCTTGCTCTTCAGCCATATGGTTCATTCCACCATTAGTTATCAGTTTTAAACCTATGTTATTAGTGTATAGCACTCACTGGCATTGTTGGTTAAGTTAATAAAACACATTACTATCACTTTGAACAGATTATATGGACGTCTTTATTTCAATTTAGTTGGGTGATGGGGAGAAATTGTATATCTTTAGGTGAAATTGTGGATTTTTTGGGTTCTTGGGTCCCTAGGACTCTCTCTTTGGCTTCAGCCCTTGTTTATCTCTCGGGATGCGTTCCCCTTTTGAATGCTTTCTAATATACTTTTACTTATAAAATAAAATGTTCGCGCAGTCCTTTCTTATACTTGTGGTCATTGTCTATGCCGTGATCTTTACCCATTAGTAACGTGGTGTAGTCCATTTTGGGCTATACATTGGACTTTATGCATTTGACTCAACGTTACTAATCATATAAAATGAATTCTGTGACTTGTCTTCTTGCAAAAAACTTACCAATGTGGATGCTTTATTTTATTTTTATTTTTTTGGTTAGGTATAATGATTTTGTATTGTGATTGAGATTAATGATCTTAGTTTTATTCCATAAGGATCCATATTGATCAATGATAAGACATTAAAGCTCAACTTTTCAATTTTCCCCCATGTAGGCGGAAGTAGGTCGATCTTATTTTCCTAGGAGTTTGAGAGTCAATTATGTGCTTAGGAAAGGTTATATAGTGTCCGAAAATCAATTTGGCTATTTAACTATTGAGGCAGTAAATCGAAGAGTCCAGAAGTAAGCAAAAAGAGATCTGTACATGGTTTTTATAGACTTAGAGAAGGCATATGCCAGAGTTCCAAGAGAAATGATTTGGTGGGCTCTACGAAGAAAACATATTCTACCAAGGGCTGTGTAGCCCAATGGTCTTCATCACCTTCCACAAATGGAAAGGTTGAGGGTTCAAGCCCCCATAGGGGCATGTGGGTGTGTGAGTTTCTTGCCAAGGAAAAAAGAAAAAGAAAAGAAAAGAAAAGAAATTCTGATAAGATTTATAGAACTTATTCGGGGCATGTAGAGGACACTAAGACTAGAATTTGTACTACATGTGGGGAGACGAATGATTTTCCTATAAGAGTAGGATTACACCAAGGTTTGATGCTAAGTCCATATTTATTTAAGATAATCTTGTATGAAATAATGAAAGATTTGCAAGGAGACCTGTCATGACCCACCCCACACTCTGTAGATATTGTCCGCTTTGCATACTATCCTCTTGATGATCACGGTTTTCCTCAAAACTCGTCTACATGGTTTTGGGGTGTCCACAGATATAAATGCCAAGAGCTTGCACGTAGCAATTATTACACGGCTAACACGATACGACACGACACAATAAGACTCATTTAATTAAAATTCCGTACTATTAAGGTCGCTTCTAACACGAACAAGGGGTCATTTTTTTTTTTCCTGAATGGGTTTGTTTTATTGATACAAAATGAGCAAATTATAGTACATAGGGAGAGAGTGATCAATTACAGATCACTATGAAACAGGAGAAAAAAACAAGACAGCAAAGGCTAGGGCACACCCTAAGCCAAGAAAAAAGAAATTGGAATGCAAAGAAGGCAAGAAGCTGAAAGACCAGCACTGCAAAGAAAGATAAGGAAAGCTGCATAAAAAAATATGATGAATGTCTGAGATGGATAGACCAACTGCAGAAAGACCCTCAAAACATGCATCCATAGCCAACTGTTGGGGAGAATGGACACTGCCACCATGAACTCTTCTGTTTCTCTCATTCCAGATGCACCACAAGGTAGAGGTAAATAGGTATTTCATCACTTTGCACTTCATACAGTGTCCGTGTTTAACCAAGTTACTAGGTCAGTAAAATGCTGTAGATCACCAATATTATCCCAATGGCATAGGTCAAAAATCCATTTCCACAGTTTATTTGCAAAAGGGCAGCACCAGAAAAGGTGATATCTTGAATCTTCATTTGCAAAACAATTGTGGCAGACAGAAGGTCCGATGAATCCTCTCTTCCTAGAATGTAGTATGATGGAAAGAGTTAGGAGGATCAATGCTGATTGAAAAGACACTCTCAGCCTACCAGAGTTCCACGCAAGCTTGTACCAAGGCACCGTGTCTATCTGAGCTCTGCAAACATTTTACCTCTATTTGAAGGATATTGAACCATATTTCCAGACGATAGAATCTTCAGGACCATCTATGGGTAAACTAAATATGAAATGGCCAATATCAGATGGCCATGAGTCTGGTAGACACTATCCAGTAGAAGAGTTCAGCACAGAAAGCTTAGCAGAGTAACTCAAACCTGCTGGATGCAAACATCTGAGGCCAAATTTCTGTTGGAGTGATTGACCATGAAACCATGGATCATAAAAAAGGATGAAGCAGTGTCCATTACCAATGGAAAATTGATATGTTGAAGTAGGAACTCTCTATTATTCAGGATTGCTTTCCATATTACTAAATCAGCTGCCCTAGGATTCATGGTCCAGAAATAAGCATTTATCATGTACTTATCCCTGAACCGCTTAATCCATAGGTCCTCCTTGGACACAATGAATTGCCACGTCAGTAGGGTGGAACATGTCTTGTTAATGCTACTGAAGCTTCTCAAGCCTGGACCACCTTCAGCTCTAGGGACTGTCGTCTTTCCCCAAGCTAGCAGAGGAATTTTCTTCTTGTCATGTCTCCCATCCCACAGAAAATTTTTCACCGTTCTTTCAATCTCTTCCTGAACACCTACAGGAATTGAAAAAACGGAAGCCCAGAAGTAAATGGGTTATTTCTAACACAAACATGACGCATTTATCTGACACACGTAGCTGAACGGGTCATTTCTAACATGAGCATGACAAGTTTATCCGACATGTTTTGTTAAACTGGTTAATCGGGAATAAATAAGTTGACAGGTCAAACACGAAGATGACATGTTTAATTACTGTGTCAATTTGGGTCGACATGAGTACAACCCGAACACGATTAAGGCAAACCCAAACCCACTTATATCGTTTCATGTTCGAATCATGTTAACATGTCAAGTATTGCCACTCCTATCTAAGATATTGGTTTGCTGTTGATGGAATTTGGTTTTTTGCTTCTTTTGGGTCTTTGGAGTTTATATTGCTGCTACCACTAGTTTTGGGATCTAGAGTATTGGTTTTGAGCTCAGATTTTTTTGCCATCGCCTTTGGCTCAGCAGCTCTGTTTTGACTGTAGTTTTTGGTTTGAAGGGTTTGCTCTTGGGGCTGTTAGTAGTTGGATTCTGTCTTCTGGTGTTAATTCTGATGCCGCAGCTTTGTCTTGTCTAGCTTTTCCTTGGCTTGGTCTTTGATCTGGTATAGTTGTTATATTTCTTGTGTTTTGAGGTTTGATTTGTTGGTTTTCAGGTTTGGGTTCTAGTTGCCCTGGTAGTTCGGTAGTTAATTGTTAGTCTGATATGTTTCAGTTTTGTTTTGTGTTAGTAAAAAGTTAGTTGTCTTGCAGTCGATTGTGTTCTGTTGTTCTCAAGGGGTTCGCCCCTTTGGTTTGTTTGTATTCTAGTTTGTTCTTATATATATATATATATGTATGTATGTTCTGAATTTTAATGTTCTTCTCAAATTAGAGCTTTAATACCCTATTATTCTCTTTTAAATTGCATAAATTTTATATTCAGTTTTTGGTTTTTAAACCTGCTATTGTGCCGCTAGGGTTCACGAGAGGAGCAAAGCAGATTAAGTGAAAGACTGTCCTCAAGGTAAAGTTTTTGTCCCACCCCTATATATATATATTTGTGTTCTTTTGTTCCTTATTCTGTGTTCCCCCACCCCGGGGTCTCCGCCCTCCTTTTCCCTTGGAATCCTTTATAACCCTCTTTTGAGCTTGATACTTCCCATTTGTTAATTATTATTATTATTTTTTCCTTTTTTCTTTATTTGCAAGGTTACTTATTCTGGAATGGTTGGTTGTAGACTGCCAGCAACATGTGTGAAAATTTGCTGATTAAAACCTTGAGGTTTGTTGCTCATTGTAAGTTTCCATGCAAGCTTCTGTGTCATTGTCGTGCCTCTTATTTTTCCTAATCAAATTCATAATGTTGTTTTAATATGAGTTCTTTCCTCTTTGTCACCTCACTAGTATTATCTGGAGCATGTTTTACGACTTGATTAATATGAGTTCATTGTGCTGTTACTGACTTTTCTTTGTTTTGTTGCCTTGATTGAAATAACTGTGTTTTTTAAAATTTTTCTTTTTCTTGCTGTAGTAATTTACTTCAGATTTGTGATAGTCATTGTGTCTAGATAGCATTTGTGTGTGGAAAGGGTAAATTTTAGGCTAAAAGTTCATTGTGCAATTGTCTGCATGTTATGCTAAAAACAAAGGGGATAGTTTTTAATGATACAAGGAGATAGTCTCTCAAAAGAGAGTTTTATTCATGAAAAAAAAAGGGGAGTTTTGTTTTCGAAGTATCAATGAGATGTAGCACATTACTTGTTCCCCCGACTTTCTAGGAAAATAATTGCACCGCCCAAGAAAATTTGCATCCCTCTGCTTCCAAAAATAAAATGCTATTTTAATTTTTTATTTAATTAAGATTAAAAAGTTTCTGTCCTGAATATTATTTATGGAATTCGTCTTACTGTTTTTGTGAATTTAAAATTATAGTTAGAGAAATTAGGAGTTTTGACTTGAGGGTTTAATTGCTATTTCGTACAATTATCATTGTTAGAAATGAGATTTAGGATATCTTTAGTTCTTTAGATTGGAGATGAGTAGGATTTATAAATTCGCTAATGACTATTCAGGCTTCTGAACTAAAAGGAAGCAACTTTTTATTACCATTTAGAGGTCATTCATATTATCCTAATGTGCCTTTCAAAAGTTGAGGTGGTGTTTTGGGCTGCACTTGAGATTTTCCTTTGTTGATCTGCTATTTTTGGTGTTTGTGGTGCTTTCGCAATCTTCATTCTTCTTTTCTTTCTTCTCTTGTGATGGATGCCTCATCCTTATTTTATCTTTACTTTTTCTAATATTTGAATGGTAAAATAGAATAGAGTCTATCATTGGCCTATTGAAGTAACAAAAAACGATCTCTCTATTTCGGGAAAGATATTTCTACACTTCAAACAATTTTCCAACCCTTTTTCCCTCTCTTTTCCTTCTATTTATAGAGGTTTACAAGTATTCTAGAACCTTCCTTTTTCATCTTCCAAGCTGGGCTAGTTCCTTGGGCCTTTCTTTGGATGTGGATTCACTTCTTATCCCTTTGAGATTGGGGCTGGAGATGATTTTAATGAACATTGGGCCTACTGGGCTATTATCCGATCAGGCTGACAGCTCTTTCTAGATTCGGTTTTCAGTGGATGGGCCACACATGGCCCAACTTAATTTTGGTATCCTCATCTGCCCCCTAATCTCTCCCTAATTAATTAGGGTGAGATTACCGAAGAGACATAGTAATGATGTGACGGCTCAAGATGGTGACGTGGGGAAGTGAACGATTGGTTTAGAGATCCATGTTTTGAAAATTGAAATCTCATCATTAACCTGACGCCTTGATCAATGAGACCACTTTTCTTTAAAACCCTTAGCTTGCGCTCTCAGCTTTTTCTTCTGTCTTTCTCATCTTCTTTTGATATCTTAACATTTGTTTTTCTCCGGCAACAACAAAGTCCTCTCCGGTGAGCTTTTTCTTGGGGTTTCCTATTCTCCAGTTTCCTATGGTGTATTCGTCGAATCCATCCATTAAGGTTAGTCCCAATTTCTTGTTACTCCTCAAAAAGCTTTCTTCCTTATACTTTTTTAGATTCGAGGACTCCCCTTGTAGTCGTAATGGCCAACGGCTTAAATTCCATCCGTTCGAGGTATGAAATTCCTGACGGTGTAATCATTGGGCGTTGTCCCGAGGATGTAAACGTGAGGACCGGTGAAGGCCTCCTTCTCGGGGAGATTCTCTTCTCCCTTCTTCACTTGAATGTGATTAGGTTCCCCTTACACCCCTTTTTCTGTTATGTTTTCAACAAATTAGGGCTTTCCCCTCTTCAAGTGAACCCCAATTTTCTAAGGCTCCTATCAGTTCTCCTGATTTTAAACCGTGACAGAGATTTGGATCTTGATATTCTGGATCTTCTCTTATGTTATAGGGTTAGTAAAATGAGGCTGAACGATATGTACTATCATCTCTTCCCTATTGAAAAATGGTCCATATGTACGGACAAACTTGATTCCGAAAAGGGTTGGAAGAACAATTTAATTGGGGTTAGTGGGAATTGGCATACTCCGGCTTCTAGGAATTTTCTAATCCCGAGCGCTTTTGGTGAGTGTGCTGCCCCTTTATACAAAAAATTTAAGAAACACAAGAGCGAATGTCCTTGTGAAATTTGTCTTCCTCGCTTCTGTTCTTTCCTTTGCCATTCCCTCGGCATTCCTCACGACAAGTTGGTTTTCAGCGTTTGCAGGGCTAGAAAACCTGAAGGAGAAGGTACTGAACAACATGCCTTCTGCCTCCACCAGAAAACTTCTGTGACATATCGCTTTTGGGAGTTAGTATGGAGGAGATACAGATTCCCTCGTTCAGTAGGAGGAGGAACCCTTCTGGTGCTGTTCCTGCAGCTACCCCTAGCTTCGATCCTCCTAGATCTGATCCGACCGCTGCTCCAACCTCTACACCGAACGCTAATCCTTCTGGGGCTTCTTCAACCACTGCCCCCAGTGCTGAGGGCTTTCTCTCGTCTGAACATCTACTTTGGAGAAGAGTTTAGGAAAGAGATCACAACCAGAAAGGGGGTCAGACTTAGATGAAGTTCCCTTGTCACAAAGAGCTAGGACCCATGGGGTTACCAAAGCCATCCCTCCACAACGGGTGCCTGCCTCTGGCGGTGGGGTGGGGGGAGCCTTAGCTTCTCCGACAGCAGTGATCCCATGGACTCCCAAGTTCAAACGAGAGGATGGATCACTTGTTGCTCCCATTGATACGATGTTCAAGGATGGTCCAACTGCTCTTGCTTATTACAAGCACATGTGAGACCCTTAGGGACGTAAAGATTCAGAGAGAGACGACCAGCAAAGAGATGTACCATCGGTTTCCTCTTGTTGCTATGGAGGTAACCTGCTTAAGCTTTTGATAAGTTTTCATCTTTCTTACGTTCTGATCCTTTTAGGTTCATATTGGGCGTTATAGATTTCATGCATCTGTTTGCAGACTTTGTTCGGGACGATCACTATACAGAGACATCTTGCAATAGCTAATAGAAAGATACGTAATCTCTTTGCCGGGCTCAATACTGCAACTGGTGAGATGAAGGAAACCAGCACCAAAAATGCAGAATTGATGGTCCAGTTGGCTGTCATGGAAAAAGAGAGATGCTTTGAAAAGAGAGAGACTCTCTTCATGACGAGAAGGATGCTCTGCAGATTGAGAAAAACGTTATGCAGACTGAAAGAGATGCTCTGAAGGCCGAAAGGGAAGATCTTCAGCGCTCCTTGGATTCCGAACGGGCCAACCAGTTGGTCCTTGAAAAGAAATCTTCGGATGAGCGTACGGCCTTGTTTGGTGTGATGAACAGAGTGGAAGGAGGAATGATGGCTCTGCATGCTCGCTTTTCCCGAGCTGGTGCTCTCAGATATGCTGATGAAGGATATAGGGATGGTTTCACAGATCGTTCCCCTCCTGAAGGTCAAACGAGCTCATACACCGGTCCAGATGAGGTTGATAAGGACTTGAAAATCGATCCTCCAAACAACTATGCAGATCCCATTCCTGACCCAACTGAACTCATCTTCAGAGAGTGCAAGGAGATTGTGGCTTCCGGGGTCATCCCCGCTATTTATGAACCTCAGCCTCTGAGCATTGCTCCTGGACCCTCCATTATTCCATCTGCCAACGCTGTTGACAACCAAGTTCATAACCCTGAGGAGATTATCTGGATTGATTCTACATCCAGAGGCGATGAGACAGTGAATGATGTCCAAGATGATGCTGAGTCAACTAAGGGAGATGAAAGGACATAGTAGGATCTTGTGGTCCTTCATTTTTTTGTTTCATTTCATTTCGAATATGACTTTGTAAAACTAAAATTGCCTTGTATTATTTTAAATGAAATGAAATTATCTTTTTTGCAAATTCTACAAGTGTTTGTTATTCAGTTTGTATCTGTTTTTTTTTACTATATTCGCACAAGTTTTTGGCGTTCAGCTCATAATGCCAGTTGCCACTTACCAGATTAAGTGCTTGGCGCTCAGCCAGAATGCCACTTGCCACGAACTTTTTATTTGTGCAAGTGTTTGGCGTTCGGCTCATAGTGCTATTTGCCACTTACTTGTCTGAGTGCTTGGCACTAGGCTAGAATGCCACTTGCCACTGACTTTGTATTTGTGCAAGTGTTTGGCGTTCGGCACATAGTGCCACTTGCCACTGACTTTGTATTTCTGCAAGTGTTTGGCGTTCGGCTCATAGTGCCATTTGCCACTTATTTGTTTAAGTGATTGACGCTCGGCTAGAATGCCACTTGCCACTGACTGTGTTAAGTTTTTGCTCAAAAGTTCTTTTAACTAGAAAAACTTCTTTTTATATTTTTTGTTTGACCAGTACACTGGCATTTACATGAGCACAATTCTAAATGGATATTGAAACGGAAATTGGAATTTAAACTTGCGATCTTAATCTACTGGTAGTACCTTTTTAGGAACGTTGCATTCTATGGTTTGTTGACCAGTCTTCCAGCCATTGTTTCCAGAGTGTATGCCCCCTTTCCTATGACTTCTGCAATTCAGTATGGTCCTTTCCAAGGTGGCATCATTTTCTTAACAATACCTCCCTTCCTTTTCAGAACTAAGTCACCAGGTGCAAAACCTCTATGTCTCACCTTCTTATTGTGACTGTTCATGAGTGTCTGCTGTTAAGAGGCGAGCCTTACTGCTGCTGCGTCTCTTTTCTCTTCTAATAGATTAAGGTTGAATTCCAACATACTGTTGTTCTGCTCTTGATTCCATGTCAGACTCTAAACAGTTGGCACTATATTCTCAACCGGTATTACTGCCTCAGTGCCGTAGGCCATAGCGAATGGGCTCTCACCGGTCGGTCGTCTAGGGGTTGTTCAATAGGCCCATAGGACGTTCGGGAGTTCGTCTAGCCACTTGCCTTTCTTATCCTCGAGCTTCTTCTTAATGCAAGCAAAGATTGTCTTGTTTGTGATTTCGGCTTGCCCATTACCTTGTGGATGGCTAACTGCCGCCAACTTTTAATTGATCCCATGCTTTTCCAATAAGCTCCTCACTTGCGTATTGTCCTGATTTGTACCATTGTCCATAACGATCGACTTTGGCACACCAAAGCGACAAATGATATTATTCCAGATGAAGCGTTTTACTTGAGTTTGAGTCACACTTGGGTACAATTCCGCCTCCACCCACTTGGTGAAATAATCTGTTGCAAGCAGAACATATTTATTTTGTGATCTTGCCTTTGGTAGAGGGCCAACCACATCCATCCCTCATTGCACGACAGGCCATGGTTTGGCCATTACGTGCAAGTCTTCAGGTGGTTGGTGAATCAGTGGTCCATACCTTTGGCATTTGTCACATCTCCTGGAGAATTCTTCAGCATCCCTTGACATATGTGGCCAAAAATATCCCCGTGTCATCGCCTTATGTGCCAAGGATCTTCCCCCTGAATGGTTGCCACACTCCCTCATAAATGGCTAGCAGGATCTGCCTTGCCTCCGAAGGGGTGACACACTTCAAGTAGGCGTCTGAGAAGGACCTTTTGTACAACTGGTTATGGATGATAGCATATTTTGCAGCATTTGACCTGATTTTCCTTGCCTTGTCCTTTTACTCGGGCAACTCTTCATCTCTTATGAAAATCATGATAGGATCAATCTAGCTTGGCTTATAAGGTATGCCATTTACTTGAGAATGGCCTCAGACGAGCAGTTCCTCAAAAATGGAAGGTTAATGCAACACATCAACAGGGATCACTCTTGCCAGTGATTCTCCAGAGCTTGATGCACTGCAAGCTAGTCGGTTCGCGTCTTCATTATCCTCCCTAGGCAACTGGGCAAACTTGATTTGATCAAAACCTTTTGCTTCCTGCACAACAGCAGAACGGTAGGCCTCCATTGTTCTGTCTTTGGTGTTGTACTCCCTAGTCACTTGTCTTACAACCAACTGTGAGTCGCTGAAAGTGTTCAAGCTCTTTACCTTCAATTCTTTAGCGAGTCTCAGCCCTGCTAACAATGCCTCATACTCTACCTCATTATTGGTTGCTCTGAACTCAAGTCTGATTGCTTGACAAAGTGTTGTGCCTTCTGGGGTTTGCAGCTTTATTCCCACGCCTGCTCCCATCTGATTAGATGATCCATCAACGAAGAGCTTCCATAATTGATCCTCGAGGATTTCCCCTACATCTTTTGTATCACATTCTAGCAAAAAATCAACTACTGCCTGGCCCTTTATGGCCGTTCGATGTTTATATGTGATATTAAATGAGCTCAACTCAATTGCCCGCTTTGTCACTCTTCTCGATAGGTCTGGCTTGTGCAGGATGACCCTTATGGGAAAAGTGGTAAGAACAACTATGGGATGAGATTCAAAATAATGTTTGAGCTTCCTCTTGGCATTCCCCAACGATAGGATTACCTGCTCGGCCTTTGAATATCTTCTCTCTGGATCAGTCATCGTTCTACTGATGTAGAACATAGGATATTGCTTTCCTTCTTCATCTCGAACCAAGATAGCACTCGTTGCTATGTTTGACACTCCAAGGTACATAAAAAGCTTCTCGTTCGGCTTTGGGGCAGACAGGATTGGCGGGTTCTGCATATATTCCTTCAATCTGGTTAATGCTCGCCGTTGTTTATCCCCCCAAGCCTGTCTTCCATGGCCTCTAATTGTATCGAAGAACGGTTTGCAACGATTTGACAGTTTCGAGATGAACCGACTTAGTGATGCTATCCGTCCGGTGAGAGCTTGGACTTCCTTAATGGTTTTTGGTTCTTCATTCTTTGTCAGGGTCTCGGCTTGAGCTGGGCTAACTTCAATCCCTCGGCTGTTGACTATGTGACCCAAGAACTGTCCGGAGCCCACGCCAAACGAGTATTTGGATGGGTTAAGTCTCATGCTGTGCTCTCGCAGCACCTCGAAAACGTCTCGTAAGTGCAGCAGGTGTTGATCCTTCTTGCCTTTCACCACCATGTCATTAATATAAACTTCTATAGTTCTACCCATCTGGCCTTTGAAAATCTTGCTTACTAACCTTTGATAAGTAGCTCCTGCATTTTTCAGTCCGAACGACATGACTCTATAGCAATAGGTACCTCGTTTGGTCACAAAGGATGTCTTTTCTTCGTCGTTCGGATCCATTGGGATCTAGTTGTAACCAGAATAAGCATCCAGAAAAGTCAACCGTTCGTACCCAGTGGTTGCATCCACCATTTGATCAATTTTTGGTAAAGGGAAACTATCCTTCAGACAAGCTTTGTTTAGATTGGTGAAATCAATACGAACTCTCCATTTCCCGTTCTTCTTTTGGACAACCACCACATTTGAAAGCCAAGATGGGTAGTGAACCTCCTTGATGAATCCTGCTTCCAGCAATCTGTCAACCTTATCAGCTATGATTTGATTGCGTTCTGGAGCAAACCTCCTTTGTCTTAGCCTTATAGGTCTGACGTTCGGATAGACGTTGAGGGAGTGACAAGACACAGAAGGACTGACTCCTGGCATATTCAAATGACTCCAAGCAAACACGTTTGCGTTCTTTGTTAAAAACTCAACCAGCAGTTGCTTCTCTTCCCTGGTGAGCTTAGACCCTACTTTTGTCGTTCTCTCTGGCCTTAAAGGATCAATCTGCACATCCTTGAGCGGTTCTTCAGTAAGGACTAAAGGTTCTGCCGCCTCCCCGACTCCTTTGGGTGGAGGTTCTTGTAATTGCTATCTTGGACTTGCAGGACGGGCGACGGCCTTGCCCTTCTCGCTGGCCTTGAGGGTCATAGAATAACACTCCTTCATTGCGACTTGATCGCCATGAATATCAATAACTTCGCTCCCATCCGGACTCAAGCACCTCATAAGTTGATGCAGGGCGGATGGGACTCCTTGGACTCGGTGGATCCATCCTCTTCCTATCAAGAGGTTGTAGGAGGGGTGGACGTCCACGACAACAAAGCTCTCCGTCAACTCTCTCTTTGCCGCAAAAAAAGGCAACTCAACCACTCCATTAGGTTCCACTCGTTTTCCATCAAACCCTAACAACGGATTCCCTGTGGGCTTGAGCTTCTTTGAATCTATCCCCAACCGTTCGAACGCCACCTTCGTTATGACGTTCACGCTGCTCCCTGGGTCAACCAGGACTCTTCGAACCAAACAGTCCGTGACCAACAGGCATATGACCAATGGATCCTAATGTGGAGTTTGAACTCGCAAGAGGTCAGCTTTGTCGAATCTTATTTGAACTGAACTGCTTTCTTGGTGCATCGCATTGACACTGCCCACCATTTTCTTCATATGAGCCTAATGGAGGCGCGTTCGGCGTAACTCTTCCGACTCATCTGTTGCCTCGGGCTGCCATGAATTGCATTTATAATGCGGACCGGTTGGGCGTCATGATAGTTCGGCTTCTGATATCTTTTTACTTGCTCAGTAGGACGGTTTTGCTCCATTGCCGAACCTTGGACATAGTTGGCGAACTCTCCTTTTGCTATCAGCATCTCAACCTGCCTGTTCAGGTTTCTTCATTCATTGGTCAAATGTTCGAAATCACTATGGAATGCACAATGCTTGGATTGGTCCCTTTGTTCAAGCGATTGTCTGATCGGCTGAGTCTGACGGAACATAGCTTTATTCTCTTGGTACAGCCGTGCCAAGGTGACTTTGAGTGGAGTAACCAATTATTCCTCCCGAGGCCTTTTCTTTGCTCTCCATGGGGCCGGTTGTGATGGTACAGCTTGTCTCTGATTGATTCTCACCTTAGTTTTTCCTCCCACTGCGACCATTGTTGCTTTCCTTGTGTTGGCCGCTTCTTCTTCCTCAAGTTGCACAAAACCTTCGGACCTTTCATTCAACTCATCCATAGTTTTCGGTGTATTCACCACCAAGCTCGTATGGAACGGAGTTCCTCGGTTCATAGCAAGTTTGAACGCCTACATTGCTTTGGAAGGGTGACATTTGAGCACCATGCTTTTTTCGAGGTTAAATCGAGTGAGAAAAGCTTGTAGGCGTTCGCCTTCTTGTTGTTTCATAGTGAATAAGCACGATATGTCCCTTGCCGGTTGCTTGTTGCCGAAGTATTGACTTATGAATCTATCACATAGATCTCTGAAGCTCCCCACCGATCCTCTTGGCAAAAGTTTGAAGCAGTTAAGTGCAGGTCCAACAAGGCTCGTCGGGAAGACCTTACACATCAGTGTGTCATCCCCTGTGTTTAAGGCCATTTTCTGCTGGATATGATAGACATGCTCAACCGGATCCTTTGTTCCATCAAAGAGAGTGAAGACTGGCTTGGAAAACTTCCTCGGATTTGGAGCGTTCAAGATCTCATCCGTGAACGGTGAATCGGCAGTCCGAGCCGACGTGCAAAGGGCCTCGTTGTCCTTCGGAGGTGCTCTCTGTTCGATATGCCTTTTGCTTACATTTCTTTGGTCATGCATGATCATCGGTGACTGGGACATTGTATCGAACGATCTGTCCGCAGTCTATTCCTTATGCCATGACGGAATGGTTCCGTTGTGATTAATCTCCATTTCCTCCTCCCGCCTAAGTCTTTTACGATGTGGATCTAAGTGAACAGATCCTTCTCGATCTGCCTGTCGGTGGACATTTGGTAGCTGAATATCTGGCTTGAGTTCCTCACGATGTGGATCTGAGTGAACAGATCCTTCTCGATCCATATGATGGATGATGTTTGGCGGCATCACCCTCTTGTCTGGTGGCGGCGGTGGCCGTGGGATCGGCGGAACATCTCTTCGTTCCAATCCAGCTCTTAACTCTGCATTTTCTCGCCTCAAGGTTTCAATCAGGCTCATCAAGTCATCAAGTTTCATATGTTGCTCATTCTCCTGTGGATGAGAACTTTCACCTCCGATCATTGTTCCTAAACGGAGTTGAGTCATCAAGTGATGAAAATCAGTTGGATCTGAACTTCTTCACCGCAAATCTGTCAGATCTGATCTTCTTCCGATCAGATCTTACTGCCCTCCAATCAAATCTCAATCTCCTTCGATCAGATCCAAATCTCCTCCTATCAGATCTCAATTTCCTTCGAACAGATCCGAATCTCCTCCGATCAGATCTCAATCTCCTCTGATCAGATCTCAATCTCCTGGAAATCAATCAATTCACACCTATCGTACACGAAGATTGATCAACTCTCTCCTTCGTTTCCCACAGACGGCCAGTTGAAGTAACAGAAAATGATCTCTCTATTTCGGGAAAGATATTTCTACACTTCAAACAATTTTCCAACCCCTTATCCCTCTCTTTTCCTTCTATTTATAGAGGTTTAAAAGTATTCTAGAACCTTCCTTTTTCATCTTCCAAGCTGGGCCAGTTCCTTTGGCCTTTCTTTGGATGCGGATTCACTTCTTATCCCTTTGAGATTGGGCCTGGAGATGATTTTAATGAACATTGGGCCTACTGGGCTATTATCCGATCAGGCTGACAGCTCTTTCCAGATCCGGTTTTCAGTGGATGGGCCACACATGGCCCAACTTATTTTTGGTATCCTCACCTATGTTGGGGCAGCGGGGCTTCTTGTGGGAAGACGAAAAACACGATAAGAGCGAGAGCGAGAGCGAGAGCGAAACAATAAAGTTATAGTTAATGTGGGTGATATACTTTTCGGAAAAAAAAAAAAATGTGGGTGATATACTTTTCGAAAAAAAAAAAAAATGTGGGTGATATATTAAATATAGAGTAGTCATCATAATATGTAGGGTTAAAATCATAAAACCCCCCTCTACTTTGTCAAAACTATCATCTAACCCCTTCAGCTAAAGAAACTATCATATTCCCCCCCTTAACTTTTCAAAAGTGTATCACGTCACCCCCATCCCATTAGTTTGCCGTCTGAAACTAACGAGAGAAAAGAAGGTCACTCTCACGTGCAACCATTTAATCACGTATTGACCAATTGCCCTTTTAATCATGTATTGACCAAATTGCCCTCTTAAACCCCATACAATTATCATGTGACTCACTTGCAAACCCAATTCCTCTGCTTCTTGTATGCCTCCATTGTAGCGAAGCAAAGTTGTCCTCTTCACAAAAATCTTTTCCGAAGCCCCTAATCATTCAATTTCTATCATACAAGGGCCTAAATCGATCATTTGAAGCCCCAAATAAGAAATATTGCAAGCCCTAAATTAATTAGTTTAAGCCCCAAGTCACAATCTTTCAACTGTTGAGTATTTTTCGCCATTGATGAACCGAGCTGCTTGAAAAGGATCGAAATCTTCCAATTTGGTCATACATGTTCCAATCTGGTGTATGGTGATGGTGGTTTTGGGTGGTCCAAGAAACGGATTCTATAGATAATCTGTATCAAACAAATGGAATGTGTATATATATATTAATGTATGTATATATATGTTGATCCTAAAATTTTCTAAGTTTCCTGAGTATAATAGTACAAGTATGTTGCACTAAATTTAGAGTGAGAAATTAATGTCAGAAAATTGCCAGAGAGGGTGGTGGTGGCACGGTGGTCCCCGGAGAGGATGGTCATTCGCCGGGGTGGTGGTTCGCCGGGGAGAGGTGGGTTGGGGTGTGGTGGATGTTACAGAGAGCAGAGAGGAGAGGAATGCAACAACTTCGATTCAAGATTAGTATTTTTTTATTTTTTTATTTTTTTGTGGAGAAATTAAAGATCAGGAAGCAGCAGAGCAAAATTGCAAATGGGTCTATTTATGGTTGCTGAGAATTAGGAGCAAAGTTGCAAATGGGTTTATAATTTTATATATACACAGGGAGAGAAATGAAGACAAAGTTACATATTGGCCCTGTTGCTTTATGGCTATTGGGTTCATTCCCATCAATTGCTTGGTAATATATGTAATATATATATATATATATATATATATATGGTAAAAGGGCTGTTGCTCATAGGTGGTGGTGGGTTCATCCAACAATTACTTAGTAATATATACATAATATCTATATTGAAAAGATTCTCTAGTATCACACAATATTTCTATATTATATATAGATTGTATACTAGTTTAAAAATTTGAAGGGAGAACGGGTGGTGGTGTGAGGTGGGTGTAGGTGAAGAGAGAAAAGGGTGGAAGTTTTTCTAAATTTGGTCAAATATATATAAATATACACATTTTATGGTTTGTTTGCATTTCATGTACCAAAGCCCTTAAAGGGCATAATCGTCATTTTAAAAATACACATTCTGAGTCTTAAAATAATAATATAATATAGAGGTCAATTTGGTCATTTAACTCTCACTTAACGGTTCAGTCACAGAATAGGGGCAACATAATAATTTTTGAATGTTCAGGGGGTTATTTGATTTTATAGGGGGTTAGAATGATTTAGATGATACTTTTGGCAAAGTAGAGGGGTTTTTTATGATTTTAACCCTGATATGTAAACACATAGTATACACATAAGGTTCACTGGGGAAAAAAAAAAAACAAAGAAGATAAGACTGTTAGTACCTAAAGTAGGCAAGGTTCGAATTCCTAAGTGGTTTTTATGTATCGACTCTATTGGAGCAGACATTGTTCTCTTATCTGGCTTTTTAGGGAGTTACCATTTTAGAAATTGCACGTTTGTGTCTGGGGCAAAGTGGACTCCAAACTCCCATATGGATGTGGCCCTAGAATTCACAAATAGTACATCCTCTTAGAAATCAGTTTAAGTAATTTTTATTTAATTATAGATAAGTTACAGTTTTTTCTTTCAGTACCATATTTTTGAATTTTGAAATATTTCAATTTTCATTTCTAAATCATTACTTTCACATTTGAGTTGTTTTTTTAGCTATGTCTATTTAGTGTTCCTTTTTCTTTTTGGTCCAAATTATTTTTATATTGGTTAAAAGTCTAATTTAGCTGCCCTGATCATTAATGTCCTCTGTTTTTACCCCTTCTATACATGAAGTGGGTATGCTATTTCATTTAGATGCCTGACTATGTGGATCCTCTTAGCAATTTCATTGAGTCTGCTCGGCAATGTTGGTCCTTTTTGAGTGGATTCATTTGCCGCTTAACTTCAAGACCTTGTACGGACCTGGTGAGTGAAGAAATTTTGTGTCGGGGCTTGATGAAACCTGTTGATGTTCCTGTCATACAGCTTTTACTAGGCATTAATCTTGATACTCAATTGCAGGTTGGCTCCACATTTGGTAGTTCTTCTAAATTGGTTATAGAAAGGAAAATTCACAATTCAGCTGTTATGGCTGCGATGGATCCTATAATTTTAACTTCATCAGATAGTGAATTGGAGGATTGGGATCTAGAAGATTATGGACAACAAGATGCTTCACCGCCTAGGAGCTCTTCTGCTTCTGCCGCTCCTAGGATTCTTCCAGATTGGGCATCTGAATGTGGCACAAGCACAAGAGGTAAAGTAGCATTTTCTAAATTACGAACTGGTGCAAAATTTGTACCATCAATAACACAGCCTTGGTCTAATTAACAGGCTACGATGGACCACCTCAGAAGGATCCTTTTCCTAAAAGAGCATCTGCTTCGAATGGATTCTCGTCAAATGTTAACCACCATGCACAGGCTAAACTCCAGATGCTTCCTAGTCCTACTGACGATATTAGATCTACAGATTTGCAGACAGTTTGGGTTCAGAAATCTAAATATTCCACAGATAATGGTAATGTGGTTGGCCAGAAAAAAAGTTTGGGCTTAAAAAATTTTCACTAGTCCTTTAATTCCAAAATTGTTGGTTTATTTGGTTCAGATTATGGAAAATCTTCATCCCAACAAGCTCTGAAGAGGGTCCTTCCATCATCCCTGCGACCATCTATGCCTAGTGCCAGATCTAGCAATTTAATAGAGAATGCAGAAAGCAGTCAGATTAGCAGTGCTAATGGAAAATCTTCTTATTCTGAGCGGCCAAATCTAACCAACAACAAAAACTACATGAAAGACCATTTTGGGAGGGGTGGTGACGAAGAAGTTATGATGTACGAAACCAGTGGAAATAGGATACTTCCTCCATCTTTGATGCATGGCAAGTCTGTTTCAACTACACAATATTTTAGTTCAAATGATCCTGGTTATCGTTCTGGGATAAGTGATGATAGGGCTGCAGGAAATGATGAGAGACTAATTTATCAAGCCGCTTTGCAGGTATTCCTTGTTGTTCACTGCTATTAGAGCATTTTGATTTCCTCTATATGGACAATGTACATCTAGATTTTTCTCTCTAATAATAATAATTTTTTCCTGAATGAGTTAGATTTTATTGATACAAAAATAAAGTACAAGTTAACAGCCAAAAGGCTAAGGCAGACAATGTTTTTTTGCAGGATCTTAACCAACCTAAAATTGAGGCTTCTTTACCTGATGGCCTTTTGTCAGTCTCTCTTCTAAGACACCAGGTTTTTTTGCTTTTTGTTTGTTTTGGTCTGTCTACTGTACTTGGTCCTTCCATTGTGTGTGAACTGAAGTACGTGGCTCCAAGCTTAAATTATTTTCTCTCTCAGAAAATTGCATTGGCATGGATGCTTCAGAAGGAAACAAGAAGTTTGCACTGTTTGGGTGGAATTCTGGCGGATGATCAGGTTATTACTTATCAATCCATTAGCCCATTTGACCTTTTTCTTGACATTATGCTTGGGATAATTTTTCTCTGCTTCTACCTAGACTTACTGTTTTTGTTATATAACAGGGCCTTGGTAAAACCATCTCAATGATTGCCCTTATACAGATGCAGAAGTCTTTACAGTGTAAATCTAAATCAGAAGATTTATTCAATAAGAAAACTGAAGCCTTGAATTTGGATGATGATGATGACAATGGCAGCTCTGCTCCCGATAAAACCAAGAAGACTGGAGAATCTAATGACCTTAAGTTGATTCCGGATGTGAGTCCTTCTGTACGGGAATTCCGTCGACGGAGACCTGCTGCAGGTACATTGGTTGTGTGTCCAGCAAGTGTTCTTCGACAATGGGCCAGGGAGCTGGATGACAAGGTTGCAGACGGAGCTAAACTTTCTGTCTTAATCTATCATGGAAGCAATAGGACGAAGGATCCTGTTGAACTAGCAACGTATGATGTGGTTCTCACAACATATGCTATTGTGACCAATGAAGTTCCCAAGCAACCTTTGGTTGATGAAGAAGATGATGATCAAAAAGATGGGGAGAAGTTTGGATTATCTACTGAATTCTCTACGAATAAAAAGCGGAAAAAGACGTCTAACATTAAGAAGAGGGGAAAGAAGGGTAAAAAGGGACTCGATAGCTCTGCTATCGATTGTGATAGTGGTGCGCTTGCAAGAGTGGGTTGGTTTAGGGTGATACTAGATGAAGCTCAAACAATAAAAAATCACAGAACTCAAGTGGCTAGAGCTTGCTGTGGTCTCCGAGCAAAAAGAAGGTGGTGCTTATCTGGAACACCCATACAAAATGCAATTGACGAATTGTACAGCTACTTCAGATTTTTGAAATATGATCCATATGCTGTCTTTAAATCATTTTGTTATACGATAAAGATTCCAATATCCAGAAACTCACTTCATGGTTACAAGAAGCTTCAAGCTGTTCTGAGGGCAATAATGCTGCGTCGAACAAAAGGTGACTTTTTTTTTATCTTTTATGTCTTCTCGGGAGAAGGGAGTAATAAGTTTACTTTGTATAGCTTTCATTTTTTGCACCAAAAAAGTGGATGTCTCATTGCCATCTCCTCCTCCCCCCTCTCCTTTTTTCCCGGGATAGATAAAGAAAAAATTCACTGAAGTTATTGGTTTTGCCACCCATGTAAACACGACATGTGCAAAAATTTATATATACAGGCTATAATCTAATACCATCTGTCTACAAAAGACTTCTTCAACAATGGAGATCTCTCCAGCTAAAAAGAACATGCTTCTATATGTAGAATTTCCTCAACTCAATAGTGTCTTTTCCCATATACTTAGGGTTGGCCATAAATAGACATGAAGCTGCTTGCCGCACGTACCTAACCTTCCTACTCACATTAGCTTCTCTCTCAGTGGCTTTTGTGCTCGACTCTGAGCTAGGCATAATTCAGAGGATGGAAATTAAGGATAGAAGAGGAGCACCAACGGGTCAGTGGTCTAGCGGTATCAGCCTCTTACCTCCCAAAGGGAGGTCAGGGGTTCAAGCCTCAGAAGAGACAAGTGTGTGTGAGTACCAACTAGGAAAAAAAAAGGATAGAAGAGGAGCTCACTGTTTACTTTAAGTGATGATCAAATCAAGAGTAAAGTACAAGAAGAAGAAGAAAAAGAGAAGAAAGAAGAAGAGAGAAAAAGAAAGAGAGATAGGGAAAGAGAGAAAGAATGACAGAATACTTTCATCTGTCCACCACTTTCTATTTATACTAACAAGTTTCAGAAATTACACAAAAGCACCCAACATTATATAAGTAATAGCAAATAAGCCCCTGACAACACTCACAAGTCCCTATACCTAGGCAATGGTGCGTGAGATGTTTCATTGTCTCTACATTGTTTAGCACATGGAATACGAATTTGGAATAAACTGACCTCGAAATTATTTCATTTTCCCTTTGCCTCCTGGGGATATAGAGAGTTATGATGGTCAAAATCTTGCCAAGCGCAACACTCCAATCAAAGAAAGCTACTTTAGGAGGCACCTTCACAAGCCACATAGCTTTCCAAGTAGCCATAGAGGCCCTCTCTCTTCTGTGCCATGTGACGTATTTACACCTTGGAAGAGGTGAGGATGTAACAAAGCAAAAAACTCAAAGAATACTTCATTTCCACATAGAGGAGGTGAGCATGTAACTATTGCGACTAGAGAGAGAGAGAGAGAGAGAGAGAACACAGTGGATACATAATGTGTATTTCATACATCTTAAACCCTAAGCCTACTACAGTGGCTTATATAGAGTACAGGTCTCAGCTAATTACACAATGACCCTACCAATTATATGTAATTACATAATGACCCAAAATATTCTAACACTCCCCCTCAAGCTGGAGAGTATATATCAAATAATCCCAGCTTGGAACAGATAGTCCTTAACGCTTAATCGATTATGACCCAATGCTTTGGTAAACATATCAGTTAACCGATCTTCAGACTTCACAAATGGAGTAGAGATGCTCCCACTTAATATTTTTCCTCGAATGAAGTGACAATCAACTTCAATATGTTTGGTCCTCTTATGAAACATATGATTTGATGCAATGTGAACAACTGCTTGATTATCACAGAACAATGGAGTAGGAGTTTCAACTGTCAACCCAAGTTCTTTTAGAAAATGTTGTATCCAAGTCACCTCACTAGTTCTATGGGCCATTGCCTTGTACTCAGCTTCAGCACTAGATCGAGCTACCACCGTTTGCTTTTTACTTTTCCATGTAACAAGATTTCCTCCTACAAATGTGCAGTAGCCTGTAGTAGATCGCCTGTCTGAAGGAGAACCAGCCCAGTCAGCATCTGAAAAACCTTCCACCCTGAGATGACCATTTGATTTATATAGTAACCCAAAACCTGGAGCTTGCTTGAGATATCGGATAATCCGAAGAACAGCAACCCAATGTGGCATTCTAGGAGCTCCCATGAACTGACTTACAACACTAATTGCATATGAAATATCAGGTCGAGTGATAGTGAGATAAATTAATTTCCCAACAAGGCGACGAAATCTGCCCGGGTCATTAAATAAATCACCCTCATCAGACACAAGTTTTGTATTTGAATCCATAGGAGCATCAACTGGACGACCACCCAACATACCTGTTTCTTCCAACAAGTCCAACACATATTTGCGTTGAGATAAACTTATACCCTTCTTGGATCCAGCAACTTCAATACCCAAGAAATACCTTAGTTTTCCCAAGTCTTTAGTATGGAATCGATTTTGCAGAAACAACTTCAACTTAGCAATGCCTTCAGAATCATCACCCGTGATCACAATATCATTTACATACACCACAAGAAAAATGAAGCCAGCTTTAGTGCGCTGGTGAAATATCGAATGATCGGTCTGGCATCTGTTAAGACCAAATTCTAATGCCGCCTCAGAGAATTTTCCAAACCAAGCCCGTGGAGATTGTTTCAATCCATACAGGGCCTTTTTAAGGCGACAAACAGTGTGACGATACTCCCCCTGAGCAACAAACCCATGTGGTTGCTCCATATAAACTTCTTCAACCAAGTCACCATGCAAGAAGGCATTCTTGACATCCAATTGAAACAAAGGCTAGTGACAATTGGCAGTAATGGAAATAAGTACCCGAATAGAAGAAATCTTAGCAACAGGAGAAAAGGTCTCATCGTAGTCAATACCATAAGTCTGAGTGTACCCTTTTGCCACCAGAAGAGCCTTCAACCGCTCAATAGACCCATCGTGAAGGTATTTAACAGTATAGACCCACTTACAACCAACCGTTTTGGAGCCCGGAGGTAAGGGAACAAGATCCCAAGTCCGATTACGGTGCAGGGCATCCATTTCATCTACCATGGCGTTACGCCAATCCGAATTAGAAAGAGCATCCTGCAAAGTCTTGGGAACAAGCGTAGCAAACATTTTGGATAAAAAACAAGATAAAGAGGAGGAAATATTATGGTAGGAGACAAAGTTAGAAATGGGATGTGCAGTAACACACGACCGAATACCTTTACGGAGAGCAATGGGCAAATCATCAGGTGAAGGCGTCGGATCCGAAGACTCTGAAGGAGATGGAGGGAGCGAAGTAGGCGGTCGAGGTCGTCGAGTATAAACCTGCAAGGGGACAACAGAGCGAGGAGGTGGGGAAGCAAGAAGCAGAGAGGAAATAGTTGGTATAGGTAGCGCTAGAGTAATATCGAGAGGGGTAGTAGAATCAGAAAAATATGGGAGAGACTTAGAAAAGGAGACATCAACACTAGTGAAATAGCGCTGAAAATGAGGACTGTAGCAACGATAACCCTTCTGAGTGCGAGAATACCCAAGAAAAACACACTTAGTGGCACGAGGGTCGAGTTTGTCAAGACCGGGCCCAAGGTTATGGACATAACATACACATCCAAAGACCCGAGGAGTAAGATTAAGCGATGCGGAGTAGGGAAATAGAACAAAATGAGGAGACTTCCCTTGTAACACTGACGAAGGCATCCGATTAATAAGATGACGGGCTGTAAGAGCAGCATCACTCTAAAAACGTTTAGGAACATGCATATGGAATAAAAGGGCACGACATACTTCGAGGAGATGACGATTTTTACGTTGAGCTACTCCATTTTGTTAAGGAGTATAAGTACAAGATGATTGATGAATGATGCCTTTAGCATGAAAATAAGTCTCAAACGGGTCCGAGAAATATTCTTTGGCATTGTCAGAACGTAAAACTTTAATGGGACATCCAAATTGAGTTTTTATTTCTTTGCGAAATATTTGAAAAATAGAGAATAACTGAGAACGATTTCTCATTAAAAACAACCAAGTCATACGAGAATGATTATCCACAAAAGTCACAAAATAACGAAATCCATTAAGAGAAATATGTTTTATTGGGCCCCATACATCTGAATGAATTAACTGAAAAGGACTAGCAACACGAGTGGTAGCTCTCGGTTTGAAAGATACACGACATACGAGAATGATCATCCACAAAAGTCACAAAATAACGAAATCCATTAAGAGTAATATGTTTTATGGGGCCCCATACATCTGAATGAATTAACTGAAAAGGACTAGCAACACGAGTGGTAGCTCTCGGTTTGAAAGATACATGACAATGCTTACTAAACTGACATGCTTCACAAGGCATGGACTCAACATGACTAAGACTAAGACTGGGGACTTGACGTTGCAAAACTGATAAGGATGGGTGGCCGAGACGACAGTGCCACTGGAAAGGAGACAAAGATGATTGAAGAGCCGTGGGAGTTGGCCCAATATCAAAGTAATACAAGCCACCTACTTCATGTCCCGTACCAATCTTCTTCATCGTCTTGAGATCCTGAAAAATACAACATGAGGGATAAAATGTAACGGAGCAATTAAGAGATTTAGTAATTTGACTAATGGACATCAAATTAAAAGGGAATTGAGGAATAAATAATACAGAGGAAAGGGACATAGAGGACGTGAGTTGGGTGGTTCCCACACTCAAAACTTTATTGGAGGAGCCATTAGTAAGAGTAACACTTTGTGATGAAGAAACAGACTGAAAATCATATAAGAGATGAGAACTACCAGTCATGGGATCGGATGCGCCAGAGTCAAGAATCCATGGACTTTGACGAGAAGATAAGAGACATGCAGGTGCACTACCTGATTGGGCAAAGGAAACCATGGAAGATGAGATGGAAGGCCGTTGTTGAGACATAAACTGAGCATACTCATCGCGGGAAACTGTCATGGTGACCATAGCAGGCTCAACAACCACTTGTGGAGCAGCCAATTTTGAAGCATTTGGTGTGGCAGAGAAAGAAGAATCCCCTTCATTAGAGATTACTTGATGTGCATAGGAAGAAGGTGGTGGTTTCCCATGAAGATCCCAACAGTAATTGACAGTGTGATTAGTAAGACCACAGTGAGTGCAGAGTTTTGAGTCTCTGCCTTTACCACTGCCACGACCACGACCACGACCACGACCACG